GGGGGGGGGGGGGGGGGGGGGGGGGGGGGGGGGGGGGGGGGGGGGGGGGGGGGGGGGGGGGGGGGGGGGGGGGGGGGGCGCTCGCCGGAACGCTACTATCCCTGCTCGGGTTCGACAAAGCATGCGTGTACAAATGTACGCCGATGATGGAAGTCTTCGGGTCCGCGCGCCCCCAATCGCCCAAAGCTAGGGATGAAAGCTGCTGGAACAGTGGTGGCATTCAGTTGTAGCGGCCCCTTTTCTAGTGTGAGGAGAGAATATGGTCGCTATTCAGCGTTGGTCGCTATTTTTGCCGGTAATTCGGCTATTCAGTCGGGGTGCAAGGGCGCCACGCCATGTTGGTCGTCGCTATGCAGTAAATGGTCGCTAGACAGGGGGCGCCACTACACCGGGCCCACCATTACCGTAGCCACAAAAACAAGACCCTCACCGTCGTGTTCCAACAACAAAGCTCGCGACAACAGAACCCACACCACGCTCGCCGAGAGGCTAAAGCTAGACAGCGTGCTCCAACTCCAACGCAGCACGCACCCGCGTGCCACCCCCTCACCTGATCCTTCTGGACGACGGCCTCCAGCTCCTCCGAAGAGATCAAGCCCTGCAGGAGCAACTCCCGGGCCCGCGCCACGGCCATGGACTCCTTCCGCTGCAAGCCGCCTCCCGACTCAACGCTACCGCTACCGTCGGTGCGCACCCCCCCGCCCTGCTGCTCACGGACTTCCCGCTCGATGTCCGCATGCTTGGGATCTCGCTCCACCGCGCCGCCGCCACCGCCGCCGCCGCCCGACGGGGTACCCTCCTCATCGCCGCCGCCGCCGCCGCCGCCGCCGCCGCCTGCGTCGCCGGTTGGACGGCTGTTGCTGCTCGCGCCTTCGTCACCGTTCCCATCGGCAGCAGCGACAGTGGTGGCATCACCAACGCTGCTGCCGCCCTCCATCTCGCCCCACCCTATCGCCGATCTCTTGCCCTCGTCGCCGATGACGCTCGCCTTTTTGCCGAGGGGGCTATGTCGGAGGAGCTCGTGTCCACCGTGGGACCTGGTGCAAGGATGGACGGCCATGTAATCAAAATCAAGCTAGGGGAACTCAAATTTGCAGCTGGCAAGGGAAAATTGGATTCGTAGGCATAGAGCGGAAGGATTCCAACATCCCATCTCGAGAAGGCTTTTATTACCATTGTCCGCGTCTTGGCAGAGAGCGAGAAAAACGGCAAGGTTGGATACTGAACACCATTTCCTGCACCTTCGCAGAATAAACACCAAGCTAACAACTTGCAAAAAAGAAAAACTGAAGAACCGAGTTGGGGATATGGGGTATTCGGGGGGGAATTGCTTGATACCGCGTACAGGGCGTCAAGATATTGATGAAAAGTTCGGAAAGAGAAATATACAAGAGCGCAGGCATTGGCAGCCCTTGTAACGCGAAGAGGAAGAACCAAAAGATGAGGTTTCTACGAACGATTCATGCGGAGGCCAAAAAAATAAAAGCTTCTCGACCCTGAGACGGTAAACGCGCAAAACCAACCGACGCTGGCAAGCAAAAAAACGCGACATTCAGAAACGCCTACTGTAGGGTTGTAACGTTTTAACAGTTCTGCCCAAATCACCCGAGCCATCATCAATAATCTATAGCGACAACGGTCTCATTTTGCCGAAAAAAAGTTCACCTGAGCATGAAGTCAGCGACGTCAGATGCCTGTTCCTCCCCGGTGCGACCTTCCTCACGCACAGGCTCGGGCAGGACCAAATCCTGCCGCTCGATGAGCGAGAGCTTGCTGCCGCTGCTGGATTTATTCTTCAGCGATGGCGGCAACAGAGTCCCCATGGCAGTACAGGGTCCGCTACCGCCACCGCTCCCGTCGCGCCCACCGGCTTGCGGGGTTGCGGCAGACGCAAACGCCTCCCTGTCCGGCGCAACAAACCCAGCCGATACCGCCGGCGCTGTCACTGGACGCACCCCCCCGTCCCAAGACGCCGGCTCCAAGCCTACGGCCGACATGACTTGGGGGTACACCGCCGAGTCACCCAAGGACGCATCGCCGTCCTCGCCGCTGCCGGTGTCGCGCTGAGGTCCCCTCCCCGCTCGCGACGGCACCGACTTAGCCTTGACCCCTAGAGAGAGACGCCTGGCCGGAGCACCACACCGCTCCGCCGCCGACGACGCCGACGCCGCCGCGCTGCCACCGCCGCCGCTGCCGTAGCCGGTTCGCGGCAAAGGCGGGTCGCTGTGGGTGCGCACCAGCAGGCGGCGGGCCTGCGGCTGCGGCGTTGACCATGGGTACCCCGCCCTCGCTCTGGGGGGTGTCGGGGGCACAAGACCGCCGGAGCCGGTGCCGCCGCCAAAGGAGCCGCTCGCCGAGCGGTGACTGCCGCCGCCATCGGCGTCCTTGTTGTCGATCGAACGGCCTAAGCTCCCTTGTCCCTCGATCTGGAAGGACCCCCAACGAATCGAACAGACACCGAGACGGGGGACGCGACGTGCTGGTGAACCACATTTCTTACTACTTGCGGCGACCGCCAAAGCAAAATCTGCCTCTTTGCTGACAACTTTCAAAGACGAGACAGCACTCGGCAACCCCGCCCGTCAGACGGCACGATTGTCCTGCGAGTCACACAATCCATGGAAAAAAGGACCCTCAGGAAACTGCGAGAGGCGTTATTGTTGTTCTCACGAACAAAACGCCGCCAAGAGTTGGGAAACAAGCCATATAAGGATTCCCAACGCGGACCAACCTCCCACGGCCACACTTGAGAGCACGAAGCCCAAATCCGTCAAAACGCCGCTAGGACTAAGCACGGCAACGCCTGTCAACTTACACACGCAGCACGTTACCGCCTGCTGTGTACGACATGAGATAACACCCACTAGACGGATATTCAAAGCTCGATTACTCCACGACAAAGAGGATGAATAAACGAAACAATATGTTTTCGGAGAGCTCTCGACCAGACGGCTTCAACGCCACCGTTTTCGGCGCTGTGACGCTTTCTGCTGTTGATTAATCGAGCTTTGAAAATCGGTCCAGGGGGTGTGTTATCTTGTGTCGTATAGGGTACGCCCCTCTCCCTCCTCACCTGCGACTCGATCATCTCCTCCACCTCCTCTCTCTCGGACCCTCTCGAAGTCTCCCGCCGCTGAAGCCGAAGCGGGGACGCCGCGTTGCCATCCCCGCCCGGCGCCACGCTTCCTGCTCTCCCCGGGCCCGACACAGCCCGCCGCAAGGGCGACAACCGCGATCGTGTGACGCTGCCTTCTTCCCTCGCAACAGCAATCCCACCAACACTCCCAGCGCTGCCGCCGCCGCCGGCGGCGCTACTACCACCACTACCGTGTAGGGCCCGCTGAGAAGCCAAGGCTCCTCCGGCGCCAATACCTAGGGTCACGCCGCCACCGCCGCCGTTACCCTTACCGTTACCGTTACCGTTACCGTTACCGTGATCGATACCGTTACCGTGATCGATACCGTTACCGTCATCCCTGGCGGTGGCTGCACCCGTCCCCGTTGCATTCGACGACCTCCGGGCAGCCGTAGCGGGCAACGCCGTCGGCGACAGCGGAGGCAACGGGTTTGCTGACTCCGGACCGCCGGTTCCCTCCTCCTCGAAGCCGTAGCCAACGCCATCGTCCTGCCGCCGCCGCCGCCACCGCCGCGCCTGCTGCGGCACGATGATCTCGCAGGTGATGAGCGTTGGCGCGCGCTGCTTGGTCTTGAAGACGTGCCCTTCCTCCGGCGGGATGCTGACGATCGGGCAGATCGGTTCCGTGGCCCGGCACACCGGTAAAAACCCTCGAGGTCCCCTACCACCATCGCCGCCGCCGCCGCCTGCGGCACGAACAACGCCAACGCCAGCGCCACAGCGATCCCGATCGATGCCACGACACTCTAGATTATCTACCTTCTTCTCGTCGACGACTGCTGCTACAGTGCCCTCTCCTTCCTTGCTCGAGTCAGACGGTTTCCGCTGCGGGGACGCGGCATTCGCGGCGGGGCCACCGCTGCCTGCAGCATCCCCACCTTGCTCCACTGCTGTAGCACGTGCGTGAACTTCCCCATCCCTTCTCCCGGTTCTGCCACGGGAGACACACGCGCTCCCATCCCCCTGGCCGCAGCCGCCGCCGCCGCTGCTGCTGCAGCCCAGGTCGGCCTGGGCGCGTCCATCTTCTTCACGAAGACTTCCATCGACGACTTCGGCGGCGGCGTTGCCGCCGTAGTCAACGTCACCGTGCTTCTGAAGCTGCCGCAGCTCCCGCTTGAGGTGCTCCCCGCGGGCCGTCACCGGTTCGACGAAACGGAGGCGCTCGGCGATGTCCACGAGGGACTGCACAAATACCAGCTGGTCCTCGAAATACCTTTTCGCGGATGTTGGTTGGGTTGGGAGGCGCCGGGGGGCGGTGAGAGGGGGTATCGGTGCAATGGGTAGCCTGACCGACTTCCTGTCGTAGCTGTGTTGACATTGAAAACCGTTCCGGTCTCCGCCCAATACCTTCAAATATCAAATATCTATACTGGCCCAACTGACGCGGACGCCTGCCGTGGTCACAGCCTAACTACCCAAACGGGGGTGCTACGGCATACTATTACATCATCTTTAGCTTCGTCTTCACTGAAGAGCGTTTTGATGAGCTACAAATTTGTTGTTTCTGTTTGATGGCGAAGATGTTAATGTAGTAAACCCGTAGTGCGATACACGTAAAACGTTTCGTGTACGAGTACGTGATCGTTTTTATCGCTCTTTATCTGGTTCGTTAGGGGTGACATCCGTACCCCGGCTGGTTCAGGCATCGGTCGAAAGAGGGAGGGCGACCATCAAGCTTGCAGATGCCATCGTCTGTACGTCTAGCAGAGAGAGGGACGACAATGCTGAGAGAAAACACCCGCACAGCACGTACGGCGGACCGTAGCAAAGCTTCGGCCTACTACCGGCGTGACCGCCGGATACTCGATCGGACGAAAAAAAAGGGGGGAAAACAAACGCCAATCGTCACTCGAAATATCATCGCGGAGACAAAACAAACCAATATACCAGCACGAAGCAGCGACAACACGCCCAAACGTCGCGAGCGCCCAAAATAACACGGCAGCACAGCAGCAGCCCGACATGATAGTCAACCAGCCCCCTCAAGCGTTGCCGGCAAAAAACAGGGGCTTCTAACGTGTCCGCTCCCTCACCTCGCTTCGCTCTCGCCCCTCTCCTTCTCCTCCTCCTCCTCCTCCTCCCCGCCACTACCGAACTCGACCCAGCTCGTGTACCGGGTCTTCGCCACGTAGTCGAGACCGAGCTGCTCCGCGGCGGCGGCACGCAGCGCCCGCAGCAGCAGCAACTCGTCCCCCACGAGCGAAGACTGGGCGCCCGTTGGCCTCACCAGGGTAGTGAGGAGCCGTCTTTCGAAGGGAGGGGACGCTTCCCTCGTGTCCACTCCTGCTCCACCGGCTCTGCTACTACGCCCGTCCGAATAGTCCCCATTCACGGAGCCCCCGTCACCACGGCGGCTTGCTTCTTCTCCGTCCGCGACAGCCGATCGCGCTGCTAGCTCCATTGACGGCGAAGACGTGGCCCTGTCTATTGTCGGCTCCACCGGCATCATCCCCTTTTTCTCGATCCGCAGCGCCCCGACGATCGCTGGCGCGGTGCCGTTGCCCGTCTTCTCGACGGGGTCTAAAGGACGGGCCGGCTGCTGCTCGTAGCCAACATCCGGCTGCGCTACGGCTATCTCCTCTACTGTTGTTCCTTCCGGTCCCCCCTCTCCTCTTGTCACGGCCGATGCCCCCCCTGCCCCGGCTGACTCCGCCAACGACACCCCTGCTACAGCCGTTGTTGCTGCTACTCCTCCCCCATCCCCCCCTCCCGATTCTGCCTCATCGGTACCACCACCGCTTCCACCGTCGCCGCCGCCGCCACAACTTCTCCGCCGGTAGTTTCGCGTGGATGAGATTGACGAGTTACCCTCGTCAGCCCTCGCCAAGACGATGTCCTCCACCTCTACCGCCAGTCGGATGAGGTGTGCCTGACAGATTAATAACCGTGAAAAAAATTGTTCCACGGAGCAAGCCGTTTACCTCGCACACGGGAAACGTCGAACTCGGCTACTAACCGTGCGGATATTTCTGATACCCGTAAAAACATGGTGTTGCACGGAGCGAACCGTTTACATTGTTGCACACGGGATACGTTTGAGTTTTGGGTGCTGACGAAACACACTCGTATGACAAGAAGCAAGCCCTCTTTTGACATCAAACCCCCGTGAAACCTCCAAATTAACCAATGGTCGATCGAACCGAGAATCGAATGTGAGACACGCACACAAAGAGGTCGGAAAAGCCTCGCGCCAACAAACACGCACACACGTTTTGACAAGGCGTCTCCGCTTCCGAAACGGCAGTAGCCGCGCAGACCTCCACCACCTGCGAACAAACTCTAGACACGAATCTATCTCTTCCCTCCCTCTCTCCCTATCCCCCGCCTTCGCTTTCTCCCTATCGTGCATTGAAAACACTCGTCTGCCCCTGCCGCCGCACCTGCTTTCCGGTGGCCCCTTTTCCAGGCGTAGCGGCCGACTCCCCGGCGAGGTCTTCCACGTACCCTTTCAACCACCTGCGGAGGCCGGTATGCACAGGGGGGTGCGGCTGACTGGCTGCTGCGAACCACGAGCAAAACAATTAGAAACTTTTGTTGTGCGCCAAACTTTCGCGCCATTCTTCCCAACCATCTAGGGACGCCATATTCGAGGAGCACTGCTGTATTCGACAACAGGTTTTGTCGAGAAGTACCACACTCTCAGCAATTGATGGGCCGGGCAGGAAAATCCCGAAAGGTATATGGGCGGAGAAACGGCAACGAAAAGCCGTGGGTCGGAGGGATAGGTCGTCCCGAAGGGGTGAAACGACTTGGGGGTGCCCGTCGCAACACCAGTTCGGAGACCTTTTCCTGGCAACAGCAACAACAGCAACAACAGCAACAGCAACAACAACAACGACGATGACGACGGCGAAAGAAGACGGAACACAACACGCAAAGCACTCCTCACCAGACACCTCACCAGACAAGCTTGAGGGCCAAGTGCGTGCTACGAAGGGCCGTCGCCAAGATGAAATCCTCCAAGAGCTCGGCCTTAAAAACGCCCTCCGCGGTAACCGTTGGGACTAGCAAGTAAAACGCGTGCAACACCTGCAGCAGGAGTGAAGAGCGCGCGCGGGGGGGGAGGGACGGGGCAGTTGATCCCCTGGACTGCCACGACCTCACACTTCTCAAGAAACACTCGGTTGGTCCGTAGAAGGTAGCAAAGCGAACATCAGCCTGCTGCGCCAGCCTCGACATCTCTGTTCTCCCCCTCATACGTACCCTTGCCCACAAACCCTCAAGGCCAGGAAAATGATCGATCGAACCAGCCACACAAGGCAATCTGGCTCCTTCGGGGCAACCCCATTCCCCCCCCCCCGGACGTCACCAACCAGGTTCTGGTCAGTCCTTGTGAAACGTAGCCTGGGCCGGCGAAAACCAGGCATATCGCTCCGTTCCGGCATTGAAGGGATGCGAGATCAATGGTCTAGCGACTACGGCATGCGTTTAGTTTAGTACACCCGCCCGCCCCCTGGACGCCTCCGGGGAATTGCAAAAGGCTTCCGAGAAGGCTGCCTGCTGCGCACCTGAGGCCAGAAAAAGTCAATCGAGTCCAAGTCCTTCTCCGCGAGCATGCGGAGGTGCAGCACCACCGCCCTAAACTCCTTCCAGGGGGCGGCAGCGGCTCCCCTGTGCAGGAGCCCCACGACGGCTAAGGTGCTGTCTCCCAGACGGGCGGACGCCGCGAGGCACCCAGCGTGGACGCGGTTGTAGGCCTCATCCTATTTTGTGGGGGGTGGGAGGGGGTGTACACATGTTGACGCATGCCGTAGTCGTTCGATCATTGAACCTCACATCCCTGTAATGCCGGGACGGACCAATATACCCGGTTATCGCCGGCCCAGGCTACGCTTTCACAAAGATGAACCAGAAGCTGGTCATCATCATCCTCGCGTTTACTGTACCAAACCACGAAGGGGGGTGATAGTGTGCGCGTGCGTACGTGTCGACGAGCATGTCGATCGTGCTAACCGGTTGACCGATGGAAACGTATCAGTCTTGCAGCGGGATCAAGCAAACATCGCTACTAGTGATCGGGCTCCCCCAGGCGTGGAGGAGGCTGGACGACAGGGTCTAGTCTCGGGGTTCGAAGTTGTTGCAAGAGAAGCCCATGCGTGAGTGTGTGTGTGACACAACGGAAGGGAGGCAGGCGGGCGGGTTTCGTACAGAGGGATGCGTGCATGGTGCAACGTCGGGCACCTCGTGGCAGGCCCAACAATGGCGCGACCATGACGCCCCCTCTACCAAGAACACCACCACGGGGGACAAATCATTGCGGAGGAGGGACAAAAGCGCTTGTCAAGGTGGTAAGCCTAGCGATACCAGTCGAACACACGCAGAAACAAAAACGGCCTTCAAGTCAGCACGCGTGTATATCCCCCCGCCCCCGCCCCCCCAGGGGGTATTGCACCTTCTGAAACCCCTCCTCCGCCTTGACGAGTCCGCTGAACTCCTCCTCGCTGAGCTCGCCTTGTTCGAGGAGGTCCAGTCCCACCTAGATTGGTTACGGCCCCACAGACAACCACACGGGGAAGGGCAGGGAGACGGGTAACAACAATGAATAAATGGAAACGCAAGCATGCAATACTCGATAGCAAGTCACCCAGATTTCACCGATCGGTTGTGTTACATCGAGGCGTACTTGTGCTATCGTACGCAACCAACCCAAGGTATTGATGCGAGAGACGACTCTTGGAATAGCCCAAAGACGCACCTGCAGAGAGTTGGACAACGTCCCGGGCGCTTGGCTGCCGACCCCTTCCGGCTGCCGCCCCAACCTCCTCACTACCGAAGCGCGCACCCCCCGGTTGGCCCGCCTCTGGTCATGAAGGTGGGCATCCAAAGTACAGCAAATGTACCTTGTGAAGCAAGAAAAAAAAAGGAGTAAGAGCCGGCAGATGTGCAAGGAGGGGTGAGGGTGGAGCAACTCGCATGTAACCACACCCAACAGCATATTCATACAAACCACAGCGGAAGGATAAGACGAACTACAGCGCACACGGTCGCCGAAAGCGGCATCGCCGAAACACGTGGACGGTGTCGCTCGCTACCTTAGGTGCGTGAGGTGCTGCTGTGCCTCCAAACAATCGTCGCAGACTCGAACCGCCTGTTTCGGGGAAAACCCCACCACCATCACAGCAGCAGCAGCACCGCGGGGGGGGGGGGGGCCAAAAGAAAAAAA